CTTAAGTACTACTACAGCCTTTGGTTTTGGCTTATAAGCAAACCAGCTGGTCACAGTGAGGCCGTGATATCACGACCGGGCCACGAGGCCGACTGACGTACAAAACAATACATGTTAAAAATGAAAACAAAGCGTGGTTGGTTTAGTTTGACAACCCCATGAAAACTAAGACTGCAGACCATCGGCAACGCAGGCGCTACCAATTTGAAGCGTAATATTCACGACGACGACTGACAAAGGAGAAAAGTCCACAGGAGCTTTCCATTGGAAAGACAGAGAGATAAGAGATGAGCTATGTAATTCAGGGGCGGATCCAGCTAGTGGGTGCAGGGGGTACGCACCCCCACCTGAGATCTAATATCCTTCAATACTTTCCTTATTTTGTATCTTCATGGTAATATTTTTTTGTGGGCTGCACCCTCTACTAAGATCCCCGCACCCCTCCCCTGAGGAAAATCCTGGATCCGCCCCTGTAATTAACCAATCACGAATGATTCGTGATTAGCGGTATTGACAAAGTTAATTAATTTCCTAGCAATAAAAAAAACAATTCAGGCTTGAGACGACAAACGTAAAAGAAGGGTGGGGGTGACATTAACCATATCATAGCTACTTTAAAAAACGTACCTCCCATCCCTAAACTAGCGCTTGCTCATGGTACGTATGTTGCATAACCCAGTCGTGCACGTGTTACTCTCTTGGTGTTTCAGATACGTTCAATCTTATCAAATTTTACAGGACGAATGGGATTAACAGTACCGTTAAAAGGTTCAGTAGTGATCAAACTCAGGCTAAGCTTAAGTGGTAAGTTAACCGTTTATTATTCATACAATGCAAACCCTCGTTAGACAAAACTTCACTCGGGACAACTATCTAGCTACACCTATAACTGTTTTTTGTTGTTGTTGTTCTTGTATTTGACTATATACTGTCTTTTTCATACTGAAGTCGCCAAAAAATAGTTCAGCTAAATGCGGGTAGTAATATATTTTTTTGTTGTATTAGCGAGTATATACCCATTTTTAAAAAAGATTGTCGGATAAAATGGCGAATGTCAATTGTCAAACAGCGATTGCGCGCGAAAACGATAGTATAGTCATAATTTTCGCTAATTATATAGTATGTGCCAAACATTGTATCCATTTAATCTCCATTTCTAAGCAAGGTTAATCCAATAAGTGAAATTTTGTTTGTCAAAACAGTGTAACCATAGTCCCTTTCTGTCGTGCAATCTCCTTTCGACAATATCGCCGTTCACCGTTCTCCTCGACAACAATTTTTTTTTTTTGCTTGAAATAAGTGTATTCGGAAAATTAGAACACGGCCGCATTGCATACCGGTTGGGTCCTTTAATCATGTATGCCCATTTTTTATTTTTTTAGGATATTAAAGTTTCGATAATCATGAAAGAAGAGGTTTTCTCTCTTCAATATTACAAGATCGTCGCAGCCGTCTATATAATTATTGCTTTCTTATCATTCACGCTAAATTTCATTGTTCTGGCAACGTTTGCGACGAACAAGTCACTTCGCACCCCGCGAAACATTCTTCTTATTTGTATGGCTGTCATCGACCTCTTGTCTTCTTTGCCGACATCAATGGGAGCGTACGCTAATTTTGTTCTTTTTTGGACTTTGGACCCTTTGTTTTGCCACCTCTTTGCATTCAATGCGACTTTCTGTGGTCTATGTTCAATATGGAATCACGTGGCACTGGCAGCAGAGCGTTTGGTGACAATTAAATGGACTTTTTTACAGCTTGTCAACCGTAAAAACATAGCGATTGTTGTGTCCATTTTGGCATTATTTTCCCTGTCATTCAGCATCTTCCCGCTTATTGGTTGGTCTTCTTATAGCCCCGAGCCAGGATTCACTGGCTGCTCAGTCACGTGGCATCCCTCCACGTCAAGTGACATTGCTTATGTTATGGCTCTTTTCGCATTCTTTTTCTTTATACCAATCATTGCCATGGCTACCTGTTACGTCTGTCTACACAAAGAACTGAASTCCATGACGAGAAAAGCAAAATCTACCTGGGGAAATGATTCGGCCCAATCGATTGAATCTGTACTTGCWAAAAAAAGGAATTGTAAACTTTCGCTTGTGATGTCGCTGGCTTTCTTGGCTGCCTGGACACCCTACGCAGTTGTAACTTTGTACATGRGTTTTGGAGGGAATATTCCTTTTCCTTCGTTGGTTGTTCTACCTTCCATGTTCGCAAAGTTTTCAGCTATTTACAATTCGATTATATACTTTTTCATGTATCGCAAGTTCAGAAGGGCTGTTTTGAAGATGGTGATGAGATCACAAAATAGTTTTAG